ATAGATAGATAGATAGATAGATAGATAGATAGATAGATAGATAGATATAGATATTGAGATAGATGATAGATAGATAAACAGACAGACAGATAGATGATAGATACCCAGATGATAGATATAGATAGAAAGGTAGATAGATGATAGATAATAGGATAGATAGATAGAGATGAAAACTGATAGATAACAGATAAAAGATGTTAGATATGATGGTAGATATAGATTACAGATAGATATAAATATGATACATAGAGATAGGCAGATGAGAGGGAGAGAGATTGTTCTTGGCTGGAGCAACATTGTTCTATTTATCTTTTTATTTTCAAGACCACCAGAGTTACTTGTGAACATGAAATGCTGATGAGACACAGCAAGAGAAGATTGTGACCCTCAGTTTCCAAAGGCATTTGGCTGTCACCTGTTGGAAACAGCACCCAGTGGGACAGATAGATCTTTTGTCTGATCCAGAAAGGCAGTTGTTGCATTCCTGACAAATTAATAATATTCCATGCAAGGGAAAGTTGGCATGTGTTACAATTATGCAAGGGTCTCTCTCCCAGCCTCCACAGGACACATCAGTTGGAACTAAAGATGAAACCGGTTTGAACCCGGACTGGGTGGAAGCTGGGCCTGAGTGAAACCGAGAAACATCCTAGCTGAATCCCCCTTCCAAAGCAAGCTTAGGAGACCCCAAACGCTGAGTGAGACCCCCCGCCCCCCAGATCCATGCCAAAGCGAAGAGAGACTTAGTACCTGCAAGAAATATGAATTCATCGGATCCTCTTTGTCGTCTTCGTTGTAGTAAAGTCCACCAGCTATAAAAATCTGGTTTTCTTGCGTGACCAAGCTAACATGGTTCTTTGGAATCTGAGCAGAAAGGGAGGCAAAATAACACTCGTTGGCCACTGGGTCATAAGCCACAGCTCCTGAGTCACTAACCATGAAAATTAGATCTTGAAGGAACATCCCAAAACGCATCGTATCGTTCAATATCCCTGGTAAAACCTCCTCGTCTTTCTCAGTCTCTTCTTCATCCAACTGTCCATTGACCACCTGGTCTTCGGGCTTCTTCTCTTTCTTCTGCTTCACCATTGTAAGATGCCCTTCGTGAGCGTCCTTCACCATCTGGATCTTCTTGAGAAGGTCCGGGTTGGATTTGATCACAGCGTTCTTCTCCACCTTGTCCCTAAAATAAGACTTGTCCAACAGACGGAAGCGGATGCTTTCAAAGACCACCGGAAGTGCCTTGACATGGCTGTCCTGGTCCTTGGCTTTGGCCCATTTCATGACTACCTCAAAGACCAACTCTTCCTTCTCAATGTTGAGGGAATCGCTGGAGATGATCGCTATCAGCTCGTCGGGAGAGAGCTGGCAAAACTCCTCATCACGGGAGACAAGCGGGAAACGGTCACAGATGAAATCCCGGGCAGCTATCGCCAAGCGGGCACAATCCAGCATCAACCCCAGTCTGAAGATGGCTAGACAGTTGCTTAGGCAGAGCCTCTTCTGAAGAAACGAGACGCAGACAGTGAAAATAGAAGGGATCTGAAACATGTTGGCTACTGAGAAGATGTCCTGAACATTCTGCTCGGTAATCTCCAACTCCGAGGTGTAGATGTAATGGAGGATCTTACTCATGACCTCTGGATCCACATCTTCTAAGTTGACTTCCTTCTTCTGGCTCTCTTCTATGTCGGAGAGAAACAGGGCCCTGAAATAAGGGCTGCAAGCTGCCAAGACCAACCGGTGGCACGGGAACTCCTTCCCTTTCACTTTCAAGACACAGTCAAGGAACTTCTGGTGGTCCAGCATGTCCTTCAACCCATCTTGGAGAAGCGTTTGCTGATAAAGACGCATCTCCTCCGCTTGTTCCATCGGGGAAGACGTAGCCATGGTGGAAACCTCTCAAGAATCCCTTGAACCTGAGTAGACCACGTTGTCTTCCTGGAAGAACGCCGGAAGATCTCTTGCTCTGCTGCTGATGCTATCTGCTTGGCTTCAGATAGCCAGAGGAGTTTATATAGAGAAGCATAAATATATGCGTATTTATATATATATATATATACGGATGAGGTGTAAGCTGATCACTTTTTAATAGTGGAAACGGGAGGGCTGGGTTTGGGGGAGGGGGAAGGGGATGACACAGAAGGCTGACTAACAGCTGGGTGTGTAACTTTAGCCTATGAGCTGAATGTGTTTCACACCAATGGACATACTTCCAAAGAATCCCCAGTGAGGAAAATAAGTGTAAGGGGGTGGTGGTGAAAAATGACATTAAGGCTGCAAAATTGAAAATTGATACCAAAACTAGCTCCAAATTCAGGAATCAAGAAGAACAGTTTGATCCCTTCTTCACAAAAGCTTTGTGCAAATATGGACACACACACACACACACACACACACACACACACAGAGTGTGTGTTCCCTTCTCTTCTTCTAAATCCCCTGAGCTCAGCTTCATAGGCTAAAAATATCCAGAGCAGAATAAACTAGGAAGGAAGACATTTGATCTCCGGGGTGACTGAAAGAAAACCGTTCAGAGTCAAGTAGGATCTCACTTTTCCCCAAAGGTTTGTGAGGAAGGACCATCGGTTTTTCTTCTTTCGACTTTGTTTAAGAGGGGGAAACGGATAAAGTGAATAAATTAGATTTGTATTTTACTTATTCAATGTAATATAATATTTAATATACTAATGGAACAAAACAGAATAAAACAGAACAGAATAGAATAGAAAATATGGAATGGAATGCAATGCAATGCAATGCAATAGAAAATACGGAATGGAATGGAATGGAACAGAATAGAAAATAGAATAGAATAGAATAGAATAGAATAGAATAGAATAGAATAGAATAGAATAGAAAATATAATATTTACTTGTTTGTTTGTTTGTATCCCACCTGTATTATTTATACAAATAACTCAAGGCGGAGAACATATTCAATATACCTTCCTCCTTCTTTCCCCATAACAACAACCCTGTGAGGTGCTATGGTCTGAGAGAGAGGGGGATTGGCAGAAGTTCATCCAGCTGGCTTTCATGATTACGGGAGGACTAGAACTCCCCGTCTCCTGGTGATTGGTCCAAAGTCACCCAGCTGGCTTTCATGCCTAAGACAGCAATAGAACTCACTGTTGTCTGGTAACTGGCCCAAGATCGCCTAGCTGACCTTTGTACCTAACCTGGCACTAGAACTCACGGTGGTTCTCCTGATTGAGCAGGGGGCTGGACTAGAAGACCTCCAAGGTCCCTTCCAGCTCTATTTTGATTGAATCATGTACGAGATAACACAAGCCAGCTTTTAACTCAACGACGTGAGTAATATTAGTCAATGTCATATAGTCAAGAAGAGGACTCATTTCATCATGTGAGGTGGGATTATGTCATGAACCTGCCCCTTCTCTGTATCATCCCCACAGATGACTCGTTTTTTTTTGGTGACATCTAATTATAGATCCTTCTGGAAAATTCCAGAAGGTCCAGAGTTTCATTTAGATTCTGACTCGGCTGTTAGGAACAGCATCTTGAATATGGTCAGCCCATCCTTGACTGACCACCTATGCTATCTGACCCTGTTCCATCAAAACCCGTCTGACTCACTTTCTCTAATCAGGATCTCTGGCTACCTGTGTTAACAATGACAGTGATTTACTTAACAACGATGGCAAAAAGATCGTAAAATGGAGCCCAACTGTCTCATTTAGCAGTGGAAATTTCAGGCTCACTTGTGATCATAACTGGAGGACTAACTGTCCTCGACTTATGACCACAATTAAGCTCAACATTTCCATAGCTAAGCAAGAGAGTTTTAAAGTGAGTTGGCCTCCATTTACCATCTTTCTTGCCGCTGTTGTTAATTGAATCACTGCAGTTGTTAAGTTAGTCACACGGTTGTTAAGTGAATCCCCATGGACATTGCTTGTCAGAAGGTCGCAAAAGGGGATAATTTGACCCTGGGACAATGCAACCGTCATAAATAGGAGTCAGTTGCCAAGCCTCTGAATTTTGATTACTTGACCTGGGGAGGCTGCGTGTGGAAAAAAAGGATTCTAAGTCACTTTTTTTCAGTGCCGTCATAACTTTGTAGAGTTGTAAGTTGAGGACAAGCTGTATTATACAGCAGTATGGACCTGTCACATGGTCGCAATTGGTGCATGTAAATATGTAGGCTAGTTAGGAGTGCAATTTTGAGTTTTGAAAGACTGTGCATAACTGTAAAAGACAGACCAGAAATAAAAGTTAAAATAAGCAAAGAAATAGTAAGAGAACACCTGTCTGATCTTGATGAAAACAAATCACTGGGGCCTGATAGATTACATCCCAGAGTTTAAAGGAGCTGGCAGAGGTCATCTCATAACCACTGCACCGTATCTTTCAAAAATCCTGGAGCACCGGGGAACTACCAGAGGACTGGAAAAGAGCTGATGTGGTTCCCATCTTCAAAAAAGGGGAAAAAAACAGATCCAGGAAACTACAGACCAATCAGCCTAACATCAATACCCGGGAAGATACTGGAAAAGATAATAAAAAAACAGACCTGCCAACATCTAGAAACAAGTAAAGTAATAACTAGCAGTCAGCACGGGTTTGTTAAGAACAGATCATGCCAAACCAATCTTATTTCATTCTTCAACACAGTGACTAAATTAGTAGACCAGCAAAATACTGTGGACATAATATATTTAGATTTCAGCAAGGCATTCAACAAAGTAGACCACAACCTACTTCTTAGTAAGCTAGAAAAAAGTGGAATAGATAGCACCACCACTAGATGGACTCACAACTGGCTGGCAAACCGTACTCAACGAGTAGTCCTTAGTGGGTCTAAGTCTACATGGAGGGAAAGTAAGCAGTGGGGTGCCACAAGGTTCCCTCTTAGGCCCAGGACTCTTCAATATCTTCATTAACGACTTAGATGAGGGAATAGAAGGGGAACTTACCAAATTTATAGATAGAGATGGCGGCACCCAACTAGGAAGGTGAAGCTCTCGCTCCTGGAGCACTATCTCCCTATAAAGCCATCACCTGCACCAGAAACCACTTTTAAAGCTGCTGTTACACCAGTAACCGTGAGTAAACCTGAGCCCAAAAACAAGCCGAAAAACGCTAGATTCTGAAGCCGTGGAGCCCAAATATTCCTGCTAAACAGATCCGGAGCCCTCCTCTCCTTCCCCAGAGAAGTGAAGCCCTTTCCTTCACTCGGAGCCTGCCTGCGGAGTGCAAACAACCTACCTTCATTTAAATCCCTCACACAGCTGATAGAAGTTATCTTCCACAATGCATTTCCTTTAATATCCCCCACGCAGTTTTCACCGCCACATCGGTCAGCTGGCAGGAAAAAACAAAGAGGGAGGAAAAAGCCCCGAGGCTCTTAGGAGCCAAAAGTCACCCTGGACGGCAGAGGAATGCTTTTGTGACTGACCCGAAGAAAACCTCTCCATCCGAACTAAAGAGAGACTTAGCATGGCTAAATCAAAGCTGTGACAGAAGAAAAAAAAGAAAGGAAAGATCTTGTAACAGCGTGCTTAATCTTGGTAAAAAATCACTCCAATTTCTGCAGTGGGATTTTCCTTGGAAAGTGGGATTCTAAGGAGGAAAATAGCTGCTATTAACGATCTGGAGTTACTGTCAGATTTAGTTAAAAGTAAAGGACAGATTGGATTGGTTAACCCAAATTTCTGGACTGTATTTTTACTACTACTCAACTTGAAGAGCTTTAGGAAACTATTGCAAAACAATCTTATTCAGAGACATATTGATTGTAGTTAAAGTGTTTAATTCAGCAAGTTTTACTCTATTTCAAAAACCCTTTGAACATCGTGTTACAGCCTTTTGTTTACAGAGTAATAGCAATCTGCTATTACTAAGAGCAATAAATTCCTCTCACTCAGTCAACTACAGCTGCTAGTAAAACAATTAACCCTTTCCTTGCAGACTCTTAATACTACCTCATTACTTTAATCAAACACTGATTAATTCATTACCTCAAAACTTACAACTTTTCTACCTCATCACCTATATCAACGATTAGATAACCAATTTCTATAAAATATTTCATTAATGGTTTAATTGATTTATTGTTTTAATTGATTAGTGTGATTAGAGTGTTTAGTGCAAATAGTGTGATTACTGACTAGTTTAAAATATCAAGATTCATGTAATTTAATTGATTAGTAAAATCAATGATTTAGTGAATTTAAATGAACAGTGTGATTAATGATTAGTGTAATTAATTGATTAGTGATTAGAGTAATTAATTGATTAGGCTGATTGTTGCTCAGGAAAATTATCTGACTAGAGAGATTACTGCAATTGATTGATTGGTGTAATATTGACTATATAGATTACCCAAAATTGTTCCTTTAATTAATTCAATCAACGTACTATCTTAACAAACCTACCATGCCAAAAAAAAAAATACAATGCCAAACCACAACCTAAAGAGAAGATAATCCCTACCAATGAACCACAAGACTCCTGCACATGCCTTAAATGCTACAAAAATCTAAAGGATAATGAAAACTCCATCAAATGTTCTCTGTGTAACAAGTACGCTCATCATGACTGCTTGGGATTAACCAAGCAATTGATTCAAAACCTGGAATCATCCAATGAGCTTTCATATCTCTGCAAATCATGCAAATCCAAACTGGATCTGTTGGAAAGAGTTGATACCATTGAAACCATTGAAACATCCCTTGACACCATAGTAGCATCCCTGGACGACTTAAAAGAAAGAATATCCAACCTTGAAAAAAAAGACACAACGCAAAAACCTGAACATCCAATAGCTACAAACCACATCTCTACCCAATAACCACAACCCAATCCAAAACCCAATCCACAAAAAAACACAACCCAGACAAATATTGATATCCCAATCCTCATCAGAGAAGCTGTTGAGCGTGAACGGAAACATCCAAACGCCATCTTATTTGGTCTAGAGGACATCAATGATAATGATG